CCGATGACCTATCCATGTCATCATTTACCCAGAATTCTTTGTGTGTAAATAAAATGGCCCCGTCCGTGTTAAAATATATTTCAAAAAATTTACAAAACTAAACATCCTACAGTATTTTTACAGTGTTTATTTTACAGTTAAAATACATGTTTATCAAATAAAGTCATGCTTCAACTAATCAGGGAATACTGTTCGTGTTTGTCGTTAGCTGTGTTCAGACTAGCTGTTAACTCATCAGTTCTGTCTGATTCAAAACATTTCTACAACCCAGGTGTGTTCAATGAGCCATCTACAACAGGTACGTTGTTGTTTTTAATACTTTTACACAGAAATCCATTTCTAAAGAGCTCTACTATCCATTTAACTGTCCAGGGATTATATTATTATTAAGTCCCAGAGATTGACACAGAGAAACATCTACTTGATATGTCCTGATGCATCTCAGTAATCCAGGTAGAAAAAAAATCAAGGATGGGTTCTTCTTTAGTGAAACGTTTCGTCTCTCGAGACGAAACGTTTCACTAAAGAAGAACCCATCCAGAGGACCTACTTTTTTTCTTTTTTATTTACTTGATATAAATTTAAAGCCTGACGGAGCAAAAGTGAAAAGATGTAAACATCAGCAGCCACCTCTTGTTGCAGCATGTCATGAGGAAGTCGAGGGGGCCCATGGGGCTGCTGGGAGACTTTGAGCATCAGGTAGTCGATGAGCTGCTCTCTGGAAGGATGACGAGCCATGGAGGTCTGACTCATCTGAGGACGAACAGAAGGACCCATCTGACCATTCATCAAAGGCACCTGAACAAAAACAAACAAGTCTTAGTTGGTTTTCACTCTTCAACTAAACCTCTGAATTCATTCACATACTTTTCTGTGGGGGTCCATGTTGTAGCCTGGCGGTCCTTGGGGAACAAAAACATCATCCTGAAAGGGAAAATAAAATATTATTATTACAATTCAACCAAAACACGTGACAGGCTTAAAATCATTAGATGGGGATGTGATTTATCAGAGGACAACGAGGGACTTTGGGTTGGAAATGAGCACAAAAGTCTAATTCTGAATAATCTTTTTAAACATTAAGCAGGGACAAAGTTAGAGTTTTGAAGAACAGTTACAGCGGGTAAAATAAGTATTAAACACGTCACCATTTTTCTCAGTAAATATATCACTAGAGGTGCTAATGACATG